AAGAGAGGACATTTCGTCCTTTTCAAATCCAGGAAACGTCTTTCCCAGAAGTTTCTAAGATCCCTCCCCTTGTAGATCATTGGCCCTAATCAGGGCACGCATCCATTCTTGAACAACCGCTGGATCCAGGGGATTGGATGACACTTACACTTGTCAGGCCCGTTCCTGGCTCTGGGGGTCAGAAAGTTTTATCTGATGTTTCTTTTTCTATTGGGCACGAACAGTGCTAATAACATTATTTGTTGTATCTTGATGTCTGCCAAATGCTGTGTTTTACAGAGATCTTTCCATTTAAATCCTTAAAACAGTGTGGTGAGTGCAGGTATTATGATCCCCATTTTATAAATTAGAAATCCAGTGCTCAATGGATTTGCTTAAAGACACAGGACTAGTCAAGATGAAAGTGAAATTCAAAGTGTGGTCCCTGTGGTGTGAAGAATGTGTAGCCACTACCCCGTCTGCTGCACCCATGCACCTAGCACCTATACTGAGCCTCATAGCTCAGTGGTTCTTCCCTGCTACTGGACTTTACCTCAATGACCCGTTTCTGTGGCCACCTGCCACGGTGTCATGTCCTCAAACAGCTCCACCTCTGAAACTTGGGATGCTTGCTTCCTTTGTTCACACCTTCAGGTATGTTGCTTTTTTCCTGCTTTCTTCATCAAGGCTCTTCTTGACCCTGTGTCCCTTGTCTCCTGCCCATCATCCTAGCCTTTGAGCCCCTCTTGCTTCTATTCCTTCTCTCACTTGCTTGGACCCTGTGGCAAGGCTTCACTTATGTTCTCATTGGCCCCTCCATTTCCTCACGCTGTCCCTGTAGGCAGGACTCTGGCCTTGCTGATTCCGACCCAGGAATCCATCCTACCCCAGATTCCTGCACTGGAATTTCTTTTTTTATTAATTTTAGAGAAAGAGGCAGGGAGAGGTATAGAGAGATAGAAACAGCTGAGAGAGAAACATTGATTGGCTGCCTTCTGCACAATCCCTACTGGGGATTGAGCCTGTCACCCAGGCATGCTGCGACCGGGAATCGAACCTGTGACCTCTTGGTTCATGGGTCGATGCTCAACCACTGAGCCCCACCAGCTGGGCTGCAATTTCTTAATGCATTGAGAGAAAAGGCATCGTTACTGTTTTCAGCCCCAGCTTAGTTCTTGGGACTCTTTGTCTATGACCCCCAGTTGGGAGGCTCTCCACAAACCCCGCCCCAGCTACTGTCCCTCCCAGCAGAGAGATGACACCGGGGTCCCTCTGGTGAATTCACCACTGAGCCAATGCCCTTCTTCCACCCGAGTCTTACCAGGCAGGAGCCAGACCTGACTGAGGAGAGACCTGAGGACATGACGATGGGGTACTGCCCACTTAGGAAGGTGGCGAACAGATTCTAAATGAGGGTGGAATTTCCAGGAGAAATGACAAAAGTAAAAACCGGAAGAGCAACTCCTACATGAGGTCACTAACACCTGTGGCTGGGCTGGTGCTGAAGGCTGAGGCCTGGAACTACAATGGGGCGCTGGGAGAGGTCACGACACCAGAACAGCCGAGAAGGAGGAGCACAGGAAGGGGCGGGTGGTGGAGGCCAAAGAAACTTGGAAAGCACAGTGCGAATCCCAGGGCCCGGCTCGCACGGCAGGTTCATTCCAGGGCAGGGCCCCCCTACAGGCAGACCGCGACCTCAGGTCCACTCTGGATTTTCCTCCGTGTTTCTCCTTCCTCCTGACTTTCTCCTGCTTTCAGTGCCCCCTCCCTTCCCTGCTCTTCATTCTTTCTCTCTTCACAAACCTGTTCAGACTCCATACTTGTCTCAAAGTCACCTCTTCGACACAAAGAACGGCCAACTTTCAAAGAAGAGGCAGAAATGGCTTCTGAGGAGCCGATGGCACCGAACCTTTCCAGCAAGCCCACAGGAGCTCTCTTGGTTGTTTTGCCATCTTTATTTTTTATTAAAAAACAAAACAAAAACCAAGTTTATTTGTTCATTTCTTGCATCTGAAGTTCTCCTCCATGACATCCTTTGTCTGAGACTCTTGCCATAGTCGTAGCCACCACACAGCTGCAACCAACCACTTTACGGGGTTTCCCTCCCTGTCGACTTTACAGGGGCCACCATTCCCCTAGTTTCTTGTCGTCAACCTTAATTAGGGAGATTCGGGGTTCAGCACAAAGAGCCTCCCCCAGCGTGACGGACAGAGGCTCATCACAGGTGGACGCAAGTGCACAAAGGTGGGCTTGGCGCTGGTCTGAGGCCTGCAGCTCCTCTTGTGAAGCAGTGTTACGCCCATTACACCTCCAGCAGCCAGGCCTTCCTCGGCCACGGCGGTGGGTTACGGGTAGAGCCGCATCTTGAATGCACCCAAGCCTCGGCCTCCACTCAACTCCGCGGCGGCAGGGAAGGAACTGTATTGCCATCTTTTCCTGCTCTGTTCACAGTTCCAACGAGCTCAGTTCTCTGTCTATGTTCCTGCTCCCAGAAGACCCGAGCCCCTGGGGAGAGGAAGGCACTCTGCTCACAACCACAGGTGAGAGAGGAAGAGACAGAAGCCTCTAAGCACAGACACGGAGGTCAGAGGTTTCCAGAGGCTCCCAACCCTATTGTTGAAAGCAAACCATTCTACCACCTCCACAGCAGCTATAACAGAGAAGCTAAAATAACGAATGCTCTTTATGATGCTGCTTAACCATGAAGCAAGGATTAAGTTAGGTTCCGTGTACTGCGTTGAAAAGTTTTGGGAGGGCTAAAGGGCGTTTGGGGTTAATAAAATGCCCAGACGCCGTCGCTGCCTGCTCACATTGCTTGGGCTCGCTGATCCATTCTCCTTCCTCTGGCTGACGTCCAACTGTCCGTATCAGCACTGAGGGGTTTTCTGAAACCAGAGGCGGCCTTCCTGAATGCGTCCCGCTCAGGGGTACAGGCGTGCCCGGGAGTAAGACGCCCACCCTGGGAGCAGCAGCCACCGGTAACCCCCAGATGTTGGGGTAGAAACCCACGGGCTCCTTGCCACTGCAGGGGCGCCATTCCCCCCGCCCCCAGAGTTTCCGCCTGGGGCAGCTCCGGTTTCCCTCTGCGGGAACCCGGTTAATAGCGTGCCCTTTGGTGGCCGAGGTCCCAGCCGGTATCATTTCCCTGTGTTTCCCAGATAAGCTATTTGTACTCACATCCTGTCTCAGAATCCGCCTCTGGAAAAGTCTACACTAATGTAGCAACGTTAGCTTCAGTTATGGAAGCAGTCATATATTTGAAACAGGACTTTTTCTCCATTGTTGCACACAAATGAGGTGTTCAGGAAAAAACAAAATGCTTTTCCTACCACCCACCTTTTCCCTGGGCGGGGTCTCTCTCTCTCTCTCTCTCTCTCTCTCTTAGACATATAAAGTATGTAAATATATAAATTTATGTATGTAAATAGTTATAGTTCTACATGAAATTAAATTTATATATAAATATATATTTATAAATGTAATTACATTTATATGTAAATATATAGAACTATAAATTCCCCTGCCCTCCTGCCTCCCTCTATCTCCCAGCAAGTCAGCTCACAGGTTACTTAGGGACAACCAGGCATTTTCCTTTGCATTCTCCCAGGCCCCAGAACTGAACCGTCTTAAAAACAGCCAGGTCCGCATATTCGGGTTTTTCTCCTCTTGGCTGTTTGGATCTTGGTTTTCGGGTGTCTGCTGGATGATGGTTTTCAGGTGTCCCCTATGGCTCTGGTGGCTGAGCTGCCGGCTCCCCGTCCTCTTGGGGAACTTGGGCCACAGGAGGCTGCGTGGGTGGTGTTTGCATCCATTCCTCTTGGCCTGCGGAAGCCTCCATGGGCCCGCCTGTCCTGGGACGCGTGGCCGAGTGAAAGCTATCATCCCTGTCCCTGACAGAGGCTCGGCATCTGCCGTGCTGTGAACACCTTCTCCCTCTCAGCGTGGCAGCCACGGCTCCAGCAGAGCAGCTGTCTCCATGGGTCTCTCCAGCCTGCCTGGTTGTTAAGAATCACCTGGTGCACTCCGGGGAGGCAGCGCCTCCAGAGAGGGGCCGGGATCTGTTCCACAAGCTCCCAGGGGACTCCCTTGAGCTGGCTCACCAGGGGAAGGATGAAAGGAGGAAGAGGCCGCCGGATCTTACAGACAGAACTCAGCTGGTCAGGTGTGTTCCCTCCTGCGGATGGTCCGCACATCCAGGAGGAATGGGAGGGAAGTCCTTGCTGGCATGGGGGCCTGCCAGGGCCTCTGATGGTTCTGAGAACCCACGGAAGCTCTAGTCCAAATGAGATTTGTTTAATGTGTCCTTCATAGCCCAGGCTGACCTCATATGTGGCTCTTCTTGTGCTTGCGGTAGCACAGGAGCCCAGCCGGTTAGGGAGGAGACAGGAGAGAGAGAGAGCTGGGGTCTCAGAGACCTGAGAGGGCGGGGTTGAAAAAAATGTTCTTCAATAGGAATGCCTTGATTTGTTTTTAGTCATAGATAATTTATTTTGAAATTTCTGAAGTGTTAAAAGGGTGTGAGGTTTTAATGTTTCTGAAAATGGGATATAAGTGTAAAATGTTTGTGGGTTGACTGGGAATAACTGAGAACTGCTGGTCAGAGGGGCTGGGGCAGCTCTGGAAGAGCAAGGACCCCCTGAAGCTCACCAGCCCTGGCCCTGCCTCAGGCTCCACCTCCAGCCCGTCTCCCCTCACCAGTTCACTCAGTGTAATATGTCTGAGATTCACCCAAGTCATTCCTTTTAATTTGTTTGTTACATTTTATTGCCAGGTAGTAGTCTATTGTATGGATACCTCGCAGTTTGTTTATCCACTTATCTTTTGATAGGCCTTCGGGTTGTTTCCATTATTAAGGCTGTTAGGAATACAAGCGATAATAAATGTTCTTTAATAAGTCTGTGTGTGGAAGATGAGTAGGAGTAGAATGGCAAGGTCATAAGGTAAGTGTACGCTTAACTTGAAAAGAATAAACTGCCAAGCTATTTTCCAGAGAAGCTGCGTCACTTTAACATATACCTGCTGCCAGCAATGTAGGAAAGTCCCAGTTGCTTCACATCCTTGTCCGGCATCCTCCCATCTGGAAATCTCTCTGACTTCCTCTGGAGCCCAGAGGGCCACCAGCAAGGGGTTCTAAACAATGCCTCTGGGCACCAGTGGCCAATATAAAGGGAAAGGACAAAGTGGAGAAGGAACAAAATGATCACGGATGATGCTAGAGAAAGTCTCTTTGCATCTAAGAACATGGAGCATGCTGGCCGCCCCAATCTGATGTCGACCGACAGCAGTTTACAAAGGAAATACCTGTTCCACCAAGTGCTAGCACAGGTCCAAGTCCCACCTCCAAACCTACACAACAGTTTTCAACCTGTAAGTTCATCTCTAGCCTCATCACACTATGACCTGATTACTCAGTGTCAAATTCCGACCTCTCACCTCCTTCCGAGGGTTCTTAGTTACTCCAGTTACTTCATACCAATCAGTAGGAGTAAATGTGGTTGGGTCAAGAAATGTTAAATGTTGAAATAATTCCACAGGCATATGAAAGTATTTGAAAATTCTATTTAAAAAGGTTATTTTTAAAAAATCTGGATGAGGCTACTGATAGCATCTGAGGCAGTGTTATCTTAAGAAACAAAGTTTATCCATTAAAATAAGGAAAATAGCAATAGAAAGCAAGTTAAATCGAAGCAGAAACTAACATCACCCCTGACATTTGTTTCATAAGCCTTTCTTTCTTTCTTTCTTTTTTCTTTCTTCTTCTTCTTCTTTTTTTTTTTTTTTATCTCATAAGCCTTTCTTTAGGGTCACTTTGGGAGCATGACTATTTTTATTTTAAAAAATCCCAAGATTTGAATCAGTACTGAAACACTAAATCTCTCTTTCTCTTTTAAAAAAAGATTTTAAGATTTGATTTTTAAAGAGAGAGAAAGGGAGAGGGAGAGAGAGAGAAACAATGATCCGCTACCTCCTGCATGCCCCCCACCTAGGCACGTGCCCTGACAGGAAATCGACCTGGCAACCTTTCAAGGCACAGGAAACGCCCAACCAACCAAGCGGCACCGGCCAGGGCTGAAACACTAAATCTCAAAAAGACATGTTGACACATAAGGGTGAAAACTGGACTGGATCATATTACTTTCCTCAAGTGGCTTGTAAGTACATCAGCACCCTTGTCAGAGGAAATCAGATATTGAAGAGCAAATATTTTCTTTTTTAAGTTAAAAAAATTTATTTAGAGAGAGGATGAGAAATATCAATTTGTTGTTCCACATATTTGTACATTCACTGGCTGATTATTATATGTGCCCTGACTAGGGATCAAACCTGCAACCTTGGCATAACGGGATGATGCTCTAACTAACAGCTACCAGGACAGGGTGTAAGTCTATTTTTTAAAATATTTTTTAACTGATTTTTGTTTCTTTTAGACAGAGAGAGAGGAAGGGAAGGAGAGAGAGAGATATAGAAACATCAATGATGAGAGAGGAACATCATCAATCAGCTGCCTCCTGCATGCCCCCTACTGGGGATCCAGCCCGCAACTGGGCAGGAGTCCTGACCAGGAATCATACTGGCAATGTTTGGTGTACAGTATGATGCCCAACCAAACGAGCCACACCGGCATGGCTAGGAGCAAATCTTTAATTAAAATGCCCCTCTTCTTTGGCAGGGCTGGAGGCATCAGCATGTTTACTCAAATATTGCCCTCGGGTCAGTTCTCATCTTTCCCTCTTTTCACACATATGACAGTGTTAAGGCCTGTGCTGCCTGACGTGACCTAGGACCCAGGCCTTGAGATGTTCTTAAAAATCCTTCTGTTGATATTAAAAACTAAACAACTGCAAGAGCTTCAGAAATCACGGCTGTGTGTTAAACAAGTGCAATGCTTGGATGCGAAGCCATTCCTTTAAGGATCATTATTATAACGTTTACAGACATGTTCAGTAGAGTTCAGTGATGGCCTCCTTTAAGGATCATTATTATAACGTTTACAGACATTATGTTCAGTAGAGTTCAGTGATGGCCTTGATTCTTCTTCACTCCCTGTTAGCCACGCCTTTGCCATGTGACTTCAAAATTCCTTTCACTAAAGAGGCAGTGTCTACTTCTCCATCCCCTTGAATCTGGGATGGCCTTGGGTCTTGCTTTGGCCAATGGGATGTGACTATAGTGAGGATGTGCCACTTCTAATCCTAGACCTCAGGACGTCCTGCTTGTTTTCTCTCCCCTCTTGCTCCTCTGCCATTGCCCTGAGAACATGCCAGGGTTAGCGTGCTTGAAGATGAGAGACCTACAGAGCACAGCCAAGTGGAGGCCTTCCTAAATCAGTGATGAGCTTCCCAGATACGCCAGCAGAACCCCAGAGCACAAGCAATAGCGCTCATTATTACATGCCTCTGGGCTTTGTGTGGTTTGTTGTTTAGCAATACCTGACTGTATCTCTATGTCAACTGAAGTTTTTAAAAGTCAAACACAAAACTTAAAAATAGAAGCCACTCATTCCAGCAACAGGCAGACTGGACTTCCAGCCCCTGCATGTTCCTGAGGTCACGGTTTTTCAGCTAAACCCAGAGATGAGACTATATCCACGTGTGGTTTCTGGTAACCAGGCACTGCTGCTATCTGCCAGGCACTATCTCTACACACTGGAGTGGAGTCGCCACTGTAAACCCCCAGACTCTTTGGCAATGGTTTTATGTATGAGATTAGAGCCTTTTAAGCTATCTTTCCCCCTAGAAAAGAACCCAAGAGGGGAGAAAATATAGAGCAAAGTATATATCACCTAAAACAAACTTTGAATAAGCACCTAATTACTGCTACATTAAAATTGCCCCAATTTTATCATAATTGTAAAAATTGTCTCAGAAGATGACTTTAAAGATAGGAAAGATGAATTTTCTCAGTGCTTAGACCTCCAACCTGGCGAGGGCTATATTTTGCCTCAAGGCTGTATCTTAGGGCCCTGCTACACCAAATTGTGACCCAAGGAATCGCTATGTCAACATCGTCTGGGAATTTGTTAGACATGCAGACCCCACCCCAGACACTGCTACGTTAGTCTGCAGTTGAACAAGATCCCCCGATAATACGAATGCATGTTACATTGGAGAAGCCCTCTCCTGAAGCAGGGGTAGGTATCTACTCTGGCTTACACATCGCAGTAAACAACACCCCCAGGCTCTGCCCCCAAAGACTCCGATTCCTATTGGTCAGAAGGACTGGGCACTGGAATTGTGTAGAAGCTCTACGTGCAGCCAGGCATGAGCAGTGACTTACAAAGCTTCTAAAACTTCCAATGAGGCAGAGTTGATAAAACTCTAAAATCAGAGGTCTTCAAATCCCATGCTTCTTAACTATTGTATAATTAAGTGAAAAAAAAAAACAACACCAGTTAGCTCCTGGAGGACAGGGATCTATTTTAAAAAAATGTTTGTTTGGTTTTTTTTGACATCATGTTGGTCAGTTTCAAGAGCAGCTAGGTACCTCGGGATAAGAAAAACACAACGAAAAGACGCAAAGACAATTGAGAACCTGCCCTTACATGCATCTTAGTATTGGTAACCCCACCTTTGGTCATGTTCTCATTCCCCTGGGTGGGTCACAGAGCAGCACACTAAAGTGCCCAATTTTGTGGTTATTAAGAGGGACAAAACAGCCAACAGGCCCTGCCACCGCCCAGTGTCTCCAGCTACTATAAATGCAGCTTTCAAAGCTCATCTCCTTGGGGCTTATGAGTCATTTCCTGAAGTGATGAACACACAGAGAGCTGGGTAGAAAAGTACTGTGCTATCTGAATTCTAAGATGTGGCTGACTCTGACCTCTGGTTTCTCTGTCTCCAGAAGAGCAGCAGGCAGTCACCGCAGTCCTCAGGGCAAGCGTGGAGCCTGATGCTCACCTTACAGTGATGGCACCATGGTGGTGCACAGCAGCTGGATGGAGACCAGGCCTCACACACAGCTTTCCAACCTTGGGCCACACCAGCCACACAGGCCCCACTGCCATGAATCAGTTTCTGTGTTGCTGCAAGTTACTGACCCCTCAGCTGTGGGGCTGACAGAACCCAATGTGGGGGCCTGCAGCAGTGGGCCAACTGGGCACCCCTTCTGTGCTCTATAATTGTGACCAGTTCCATGTCTAGATCAGATTTAACAGCAAACCACTGATTATATCGACCAATAGTTACCACATTAAAATAAAGAACTGGGGAAAATATTTCTTTTACTTAAAAACAACAGTAAACCCATTACATGTTAACAAAGATATTTTCTGCAAAAGTGTTTTCTCCCCCAAGCAATAATTTAATGAGAAGAGTTGCTCTGTTTTATATTTCTGCAAATCTCTTTAATGGCTAGCTGAATAGGAGACAGATTTTTCATATCCGCTTCATTATTCAATCTGTCACACTATCAGGTATCTTGTAGCCTCTGGAAAACTCAACAGTATACTCGTGAGAGAATCAGACCGAGAAAGGACAGAAAATGTCTCAGTGTTTTAATGTAGTTTTGACCTTGTATGTGTCCTGAAAGGGTCTCCAGGACTCCAAAAACCATTGCATTGGAACACTGCTCCACGCAGCTCTGACTGCAGCTTACTTAATTGCAACTCCTTCATAAAACACAATTAGGTTCCTAGGTAGGCCCCGTAACTTTGAAAGGAACAGCCTCACAGCTATGCCAATCTGCCAGGACCTTACTGTTGGTGACTGTGTTCCCCCTTCAGTTTTACGCTGACATCTAGGTGGAGATAAGCTCCTAGTGTAGGGTGCAGGCCTCAGAAAATTAAAAAGCTTGGTCACACACACTGCTTAACTTTTTCCACTTGTTTTCGGAACTCAGACTTCCTGAAGGACATGCCAACATTTTTCTTAATTTCTTAAATTCAGAAGTATAACCTAAAACTTTCCACTTTATATAGTCAACAACCAAATATTCCATTTCCTTAAAAGTCGTATTTTTGACTTGGTGGGAAAAACAAAACATTTTTGTGTTAACAAAATCCAAGTGTGTTTTTTTGAATTCAAACATATTTTGAAAACTAACAATAGAAGAGTTTAAAGGTCTGTTTCTGCTTAGAGTGGGGATCCTGTTTCGGTGAAGCTGGGCGACTTCCTTCAAAAATCTACTCCTGAAGCATGTGTGGGGCCCAGGCCCCAGAAACCTACGAGTGTTAACTTAACATTTCTGTGTTCCCAGAACTCTTATTTAGTTGAAATAATTTTCCTGTTGACTATGAATCTAGAAATACATTATCAGAAGTTTTATTGATTTTCAACTCTCATTTTGCTTAAGGTTTCCCCTCCTTCCCTCTACCCCAGAGAGTATTGATGGCAAAGGATCATGACTCAAGAACAGCCCTTTTTTGGGTCTCAATATATCATCCTGGCTCTGATATTTGTTTCTCTCTAAGAAGGAACTGTAGGCTCTATCCTCTGTGCCTATAACCTAAGAACCTGAACATATTATCAATGATATGACCTTGAATTTTCCTAAGAAGGGATTAAAAAAAAAAGACCCAGAAAGCGAACCACCCAATGCCTTCGGTAGAAATTGTGCGGCCCCACCCCCATCCCTTCTCCATGGTTCTTTATGGACTACGTCACCCAGGTTCTCTTGGCCTCTGGGTTTGGGTTAAGATCAGGAGCAATGGGAGGCTCCAATGAAAAATCAGAGAATGGGGGTCAGGGTATCCATCCTCCACTTGTGGTCCTGGGCTGGTAACAGCTTCCCCAACTGGTAGTCCCCGAGGAGCTTCACTAACCCGTTGGTGACTTAACCCAGTCCATACCTCTGCAAATCACCTCTTCGTTAAACGCTCTTCAGCTAATCCTTTACACTGGCCTTCCTGTCAGGGCCCTGAAAGATACCAATAAAAATTTGTTCCAAACAGGTACCAAGCAAACTTTTGTGTTTATTAATACAGGTTACACACATTTTTTAAAAAGAGAGAACATAAAAACAGTGACATAATATTTTACAAGTACAGACTGATAATAAAGTAGTGATGGTCATATTAAGTCAGAGGAATTTTAATATGTATATACAGACTGAATAAACAATGACAGTAAATCTCCACTGAGTTAGATAAAATGGATATAGCAACAAAATTAATAAAATCAATGTTAGCTTCTACTTACAATACACTTTAATGTAAATTATTCTATGGCATTTGGAAATAGTTTGTTCTTTTAAATAAGCATTTGCCTTGGAACTTTCCATTTTTTGATTTAAGATGCCAACATTTTTTTTTTCATATGGAAAAAAAGATACATTTCAACTTAATTTTCAAATTATTTTGTCAAATCCGTGAGGATTTTCTATACTTGATACTCAAAATGGGGCTAAGAAATGCTTTTAAAATAATCTCATTAACTATTAAGAAAAGTGAATGGAAAATATAGAATAATTTTGCTAGAACTGAAAGTCAATTTAATTTTCTTCAGTTATTTCTAATCAGACTGACATAATTCTTTTTTAAAACCTGGTTTGGGTAATTTATTAAAAACATTTGTAAATAAACAGTGTCCATGTATACAGACTGAAGGACTTGACAAAAATACACTTCCTGAATTGTATTGTTTTCATCTCAGGTTATGACCACTTGTAGCAGTAATCCAAAACTCTGAACAAGTAATCCAAATGTTCAAAGTTTTTCAACTGACCGGCTGTGTGAAACTGGTTGGATGACATCTGGCTAAAAACACTTTTTTATACAACGACATACTTATATGCACATCACACTCTGTGTCTGGTCTGCTTTGTTCTTGAGGGGAGGACCTCGTCTTATTCACCTCTATTGCCCAGCACCCATCAGAGTGCCCGGAGCACATAATGGGTGGTCATGTTTGCTGCATGGGTGCCTCCATCTGAGAATGGACCTTGCAGGGTAACTGCCGGAAGTGAACGTGCCTTCTTTCTGTTCTTAAAAGGATTTGGCAGAGAAGTGTTTCATATTCATTATCTCCTGGGATAGCACATCTTATTCTGCCAATTTCTACTAAACTCGGTCATTCATAGCCAACCCCTGAGGGGACCCCAGGAGAGTGAATGTGGTGGTCCTGGATCCCTGTGCTCTCTGGGAGGCTCAGCTGCAGGGTCTGGAGCGACCCTGCCTAGTATGTACTGCTTGGAGCCCTCTATCCGGGGCCAACCTCAGGTCACTAGTGGGGCCTATGCTCATTCTTGGTTTATGTATACAATGTGTAAAACATCAAAAATGCTACCCAGCCCTAGCCAGTTTGGCTCAGTGGATAGAGCGTCAGCCTGTGGACTGAAGAGTCCTAGGTTTGATTCTGGTCAAGGGCACATGCCTGGTTGCTGGCTTGATCCCCAGTAGGGGGCGTGCAGGAGGCAGCCAATCAATGATTCTCTCTCATCACTGGTATTTCTATCTCCCTCTCCCTTCCTCTCTGAAATCAATAAAAACATATTTTTTTAAAAAATGCTACCCAAATCATGTTTCCATAATTTAAAGAATTCAAACTTTGATATGTTTAAAATGAAAAACAGAATTTTTTCTACACATAGATAGCACTGTTCTCTCTTAATAACTTAAAGCTGTTGACCAAGTTCAAAATAAACTTATTTGCAAAAGCCGTGTAAGTCCAAACTACAGAATCCTTCACTATAGATGGTCATCTTCAGATGCTCTGGGCTAACCTCCGCCAACCTAGACCTTGCATATTAAATCAGAGAATCATAGTTCTTTTTCATAATCTCTTGGGGGGGAAGAGGGTTTCAAAGTGTCTGTTCTATACTGCATTGCAAACATGTGTACTATATATATATACACACACACATATATGTAAGTCACTTAAATATATCAAAAAGTAATATTCAGTTATTATTGTAGCATTGGCAATACTGTCTAGAATCACATTGTTTTCTATTCATGTTATCCTTTTCTGTTACTAATAAATATATACCCTTAATGGCACTCTTAAGAAGGAGGCATGCAAATCACACATTTATTGTTTAAAAGAGTAAATACTATTTTTTGGCAGGGACTAATAGAATCTTCATGTTCTTTGTTTTTTCAAATATTTCTCTGTAACCTTCCAGCAGCCGCTTCCCTAAGTTAGCAGCTTTTTGTAGATGCTGTTATTCAGGTTAGTAGAGCAGGTGTCCACTTTACTTGCCATCAGCTGACCACTGCTGCTGCTGGGATCAGAGCTTTCTTTGCAGCAGAAGATACTGTAGAGGTACCTCTGGCACTCAGAGGAAGCATAATAGTAAATCAAGGGATCGATGCAACAGCTTATGCTGCTGACACAGACACAGAGGAGGTAGGCAAAGTAGGCAGCCTCCGTGCTGGGATTCTGAGAGAGGAACGCGTAATGCAGAATCAGGAGGACGTTTGTGGGTCCAAAGCAAACGATGAAGATGCAGAAAACAGCCACGGACAAGAACAAAGCCCGGGTCTTCTTGCTCTGGGTGGCGACCGTGGAAGAGCTCAGACACTGGATGATAGACACATAACAGACCGTGGAAATGATCAACGGCACAAAAAAGAAGACAGCAGAGAAGGCCGAGAAGTAATACGCGTAAAAGCCTTTGAGCAGGGTTTCATTGAGCACGTCATGGCAGGTGGTTATGTTGAGCCCGGGCACCTGGGTGGTTTGCTCCTTGAGGAGAAGTGGCACCACCCCCGCGATGGCCACAGCCCAGATGACCATACAGGTGAAGGACGCCCTCCCCATGGTACGCCAGGAGAGGGACTGCATGGGATACACCACGGCCAGAAACCGGTCAATGCTGATGACTGTCATGAGCATGATGGAAGCATACATGTTACAGTAAAATGCTGCGGTGACGAAGCGACACATTTCAGACCCAAATTTCCAATCACTTCCGGAAAAGTAATAGCTGATCTTAAACGGGAGCACAGACACGAAGAGCACATCTGCCGTGGCCAGGTGCAGCATGTACACCACGGCAGGCTTCTTGATCTTCATTTTCACGATGAACACAACGATGGCCATGATGTTTAGAGGAAGGCTGATTATACACACGCCAGTGTAGACGGAGGGGATAAAGACAGTCAACCAGGCGCTGGTCAGATATCCCGAGGCATCTTTTGAGATGAACACATGGGGTGGTTTTTGAAGAGGCCTGCTGTGATTGATGGAGCTTAATCTGTCTTCAGTTAACCCACTTCCATTTTTGTCCTCATCGTCGTAGTCCAATGGGAAAGGCTCAAATTTATCCTCGGAATTCCTGAGAAAAAATGACCGGGGAACCACAGTAGCATTTGTTGCTTTTAAATCTGAAAAATATTTTTTTAAATAAAATTTAAAAGAGAATGAATTAAAAAGGCTCAAGAGACAAATAGTGCATTTTACTGTTGCTTTTTGTTTTCTTATGAGGAGAGTGGGTGGGAAACAGCAGGTGATGCACAGATGGACCGCAGACTTTATCAGAGAATTAGCTAACTCAAAAAACATTATGTTTTGACACAAGCGAACATTTTCAAAACTCTGCTCCTCAGAGGAACAGGGGTGAATGATACACTTTTCAAGATCTGGCCTGAGAACCTGACATGAAGGGAAAAGTGATTTCTATACTATAGTAACCACCATCTACATAAACGAATCATTTCCAGGCTATATGACTTCTACCTCCACATGCCTTCATGTCTACGTTTTCTCCATTTAGTTTCTCCTTGAAACCTATCCCACTCAATGGGAAATTACATCAAACATTGAGGAGACTTCTTTTTTAAAAAAATACATTTTATTGATTTTTTTTACAGAGAGGAAGGGAGAGGGACAGAGAGTTAGAAACATCGATCAGCTGCCTCCTGCACGCCCCCCACTGGGGATGTGCCCACAACCAAGGTACATGCCCTTGACCAGAATCAAACCTGGGACCCTTCAGTCCGCAGGCCGACGCTCTATCCACTGAGCCAAAGCAGTAAGGGCAAGGACACTTCTTAAAGGTTATGGAGTGACAGGCAAATTCAGTGTAGGACCAAGGGCTCCAATTGCCATGACCATTATCCATTTGACTGTAGTTTTCCTCTACTATCTTTAGCTTGTTTACCCAACAGAACGTCCCAAATCTTTCATCCTATCTGAGCCCAAACCACTGTCACTTGGGTTATCTTCTAATATAACCACAAGGAACCCCAGTTATCTCCTTGTCTCCTTCCTCAGGAGGTCAGTGGAGTAACAGATGGTCCAGGCAGATGGCCTTCCTTGGCTTAGTTCCAGAATGCTACATGCATTGTGGCAGATGCCAGGCCAGCCAGGCTCTTTGAGTATCAGCCAGAAGTCAAAACAAAGGCTCAGTTGCATGCTTCCTCCTTTTATAACTTTCTTCCACCAAAATCATCCATTTTAAATGCTCATCAAAGAAATGCAACACTTAGCTCCTGGCATTCAACCAGCTTTTCCTTCCAAGAAGCTTTGCTAAAATTCTGCCATTAAGGAGAGTCAGACAGAGGGCCTTTGTTGGTCTTGGGAAGCTGAGGAGTGGGGAGAGACACCTAGAGGGAAAAGGGCAGGGTCTCCGACATTGGCAGTGTTCACAACGAAGACTGGCCTTGCAGGTCACCTATTACTGATGTTAGAAAATTTAAAAACTGGCTTGAAATGGGATAAATATAGTGGATATTCAAACTTTTGGTTTTGTTTTTCAGGGTGGAACCTTCCTGCAGACAGAAACTCACACAAAGGCATAATGCTATAAAAGATAGTTCTGGCCCAGCCGGTGTTCCTCAGTGGTTGAGCGTCGACCTATGAACCAGGAGGACACAGTTTAATTCCCGGTCAGGTTACAAGACCAGGTTGTGGGCTTGATCCCCAGTAGGGGGCATGCAGGAGGACTATCAAGCAAGGCAGCTCTCCGACCAATGATACTTTCCCATCATTGATGTTTCAATCTTTCTCTCCCTTTCCCTTCCTCTCTGAAAAAAAAGAAAAGAAAAAGATAGTTCTGCTTCCACTATGGCTCTGTGAGGTCCTACCAGGCTTAATCATCCCTTAGAAAAAAATTACAAACCCCTTCCTCCCTGAAATCAATGACCTAAAGGCATTGAGATTTCCAGGGTGGTGTTGGGAGGGGAGGAATGAATGATATTGAAAGGATGACACCACTGGGTTTCTTGTTTTTACTGGTGTTTAGCTTGAGAGAAGGTCAAAGTCAGTGACATAAAGGATGGCTAAGACTCAGATAGGAAGCCCACAGTCCTTCTACCCTAATGAACCAAAGGACAGAGTTCAGGGCAACCATGGGAACTGAAAAGTGAGATGAGATTCCCAGAGAGGGGCAGCCCTAAATTCCAATGTAATTTCTGCCTCAGGCTTTGGATGACTCTTGAATGAACCATGCATGTGTTGGAAAGATAAGACAACTTAGGTGCTGTTAGAGCTTTCTGTTCATGAGGAAGCATCTGCAGTTTGAGTCCAAAGATATTAACTGTCCGTAAAAGTTAAACACCAAAAATCTTTGTGAGAATAAAACAAAATTCAGAGTCTTTAAAGTATGACAATGTCTAGCACACAATCCAGAATCACTTGATATTAAAAAAAAAATCAGAAAGTGTGACCCAGTCTTAAGAAAAAAGATAACTAATGCAAGCCAATCCCAAGATGAACCAAATGTTAAAATTGGCAGGTAAGGATTTTAAAGGATGTATTGCAATGATGCTCAACAAAGTAAAGAAAAATATTTCATTGAAATAAATGAAAAAGTAGAAAATACCAAGAAAGAAATTAATGAAAATTCTAGAACCAGAAAATAAAATACAATAAATTGGCATATATTTCCAAAATAAAGAGTAAAGCTAGAGTAATACCAACTGAGAGACAGCAGCAGGGCAGGGCCTGGCAGTAAGGGGTTGAGGTCAAACTACCTCAGCAAGGTCATGAGTGGGCCCCTGAGGGTGAAGGGATAGCGTTGTAGGAGATCTGTCACTGGGAAAGGACAAATGTCTCTCATGATGAGCCTCTGAGTACACATATGTCTAGATTAATCCTCAAGGGTAAGAAACTGGTCCTATTCATCTCTGAATCTCCAGCACTGGGTACCTGGTAAGTGTTCCTCAAATTGGTTCTTAATTACAGATTTGCATTCTCATGTTGGCTCTTTCAGGAGTCACTTGCCCCTTCTGAACTCAGTCTCAGAACCATTAAGTGATTCTAATACCTGTCTGGTCTACAGATATGAAGCAGGACATGCTTTCACTTTGCAAACTATAAAAATTAATCAGTGTAAGGAATTATTATCTTGCCCCACTCACTTCAATGTAGTTTGCTTTTAGACTCGCTCTCAATTATTTTAAATTAAAATGGAATCTAGGTTGCTCTTCTCTCCTATTTAGGAATGCTTAGTTTTTTTCCGTATGATAAGGGACATGGACAGGTTGTAAAGTGTGTAGTCCCAGCATTCAGAGCTGCAAATCAAATTTCAAATTCACAGCCTTTTCTAGAAGTATTACTTTCTTCCCTCTGTGATGCACCTAACTTATTCTGTGTGCATCCTGACCCAGTCACACGGAGGTCTGACACTGGTACTGACAGCCCCCGGGGAACAGGAGGCTACCCTCAAGGTCAAAACAAATGTGTGGGAGCTGAAAGAAAAGAATGAATGGGTGCTGGCATTTTAATACCACTAAGATATGTGTCCTTAAAAATGCTGACCCAGAGGAACTGTAAAATAACACAGATCTCCTCTGCAGTTTAGGGAACCTGGCCAGATTAAGGACTTTTGTCATGTGTGCAGGGTAAAAAAGTGCATGCGTGTGCATGCACACACACACACACACACACACGAATAGAGGAGTGATAAATTTGAAAACTAGTAGATACTCAATAACTAAGCTTCATAGATACTATCACTTGATCTGAAAATAAAACTATTAGTATTTACTCTATAATTAGTACTTTGGCAATAAGTATCTGTTTTCAAAAACTCCTCCCCTGGCTAGGCCATCTTGGGCTCTACGCTGTTTATGACAAAATCACTAATACCCACTGAAACATGAAATTGCTGGGCTGGAGCCCATTCAGAATGCAGAATCTGTTGATTAAATATTACTGCCCAAGATGTCCCCTTTTCTTGACACTATAGGTTTGATTCTAAAGGCTTTTGTAGAATTAAAGAATGTCAGCAAACTTTCTTGCTTGTTTAAGTATGTACCAGCATAAAAAAAAAGAAAAAGCCAGCTCTCCCTCCCCGCCTTCTCCCCCCACAGGGTGTTACCTTTTCCTTTCTCTTCCTAAGCTCCCAGGGCCCTACTTTTGCTTCAGTAACTTGATTCCTAACCCAACTGG